TTTCCATTATATACATTCGTTACATTAAATAATTCACCATAATATTTTGATAAACAGTATATTTAATTCATAACTTCATCTTCGATAAATGTAAATATAACATTAGACTAGACACGTACTGACCTTAATCGATTAATATAAAAAGCGGCGGCTAGGCCAACAATAATGACACTCTTGGTCGGAGTCTCACCCTAGACTCTCTGTCGGATTCTCATCCGGTACTCTTAGTTTAAGTCTCATCATCGTCTCGCATCCCATTAGAAGAAGTGTCGTGACGTGCCCTCGTCGCCTTTAGATGTTTAGCCCTTGGTAAGGCGCTTTTTATATTATTGTAACATTTTGGATATATTATTTATCTTTAATAAATTGTTAATTATTGCCCTTTTATTTTCCCAAGTCAGGTAGCACATAGAGTCACTATTTAAAGTGACTCTCTCATGACCGAAACGCCCGAGACATATATGGAGGTGCCGTTTGGCAACTGATTTCCGAAGGGCGATTCTTCCTAATTGCCCTTAATGTACAAAAAATAGTTTTATTTTAAATAGCTACCTTACTTGGCAAGATTAAAATATTATTTAAAGGCGAACAAGGTGAAGCAGGGAATTTTTTTTTATTTGAATCCAGCAACAGACCTTGCTAGGTTGAGTTTGTTGCAAGTGATTGTTGTAAGTGTTGGTTGGGGACTTGTCACCTGGTGTCAACCTTGAGTCAAGATCGCCTATCGCATTTAATATCTTTACCTACTTGGTGTACACCTCTAAGGGAAGATATCAGTAAAACAAGTAGTGGGGAACTTGTCACCTGGTGTCATCCTTGAGTCCAGTTCGCCAATCGCACCATTTATCTTTACCTACTTGGTGGATACATCTAAGGGAAGATATCTGGTGGAGATAACTCAACCAAAACTTAATCTGTTGCTGGGTGCAAAAGAGCGGTGAGGGTATACAACTTAACAACAAGAACGGATGTCTCCGTACTGTAGGCTGGGAAGAAGTGAGAAACTTCTACGATGGTTCGGTCCATTCTATATAGAAAGGATAATAGGGGAGTTGGACTACGAAATACGGAAAGGGTTACACAACAAATTTAATTAAAGAGTGAACCTACATCCGTACATATGTATATAATAGTTATTTAATTATAATTCTTTTTTATCATATACTAGCACTTTTTTGTGCAGGATGTTTTTTTGAAGAAACTCCATATTTTAAAATAGAGATAACTGATGGCGCCTTCGGTAGTACTATCAGACACAAAAGCGTATGAAGCTACAATCCCCATATTTATTGAGTTTTCCCTTTTCTGTTTAGCATTTATTGTTTTCATTATATATTTAATAATACAAATATTACAAAACTGGATCTCAGCCAGAATGACACAGCAGTCACCCTCACTCGAAAATACAGAAATTCCTCCCACAGAAGACCGAAGTGATCCCCCCAAGCAATTCAAAATAGACGTCTCATATTAAATGTAGAAAATGTAAATCTGCAAGAGTTAGCTACAGGACAGAGCATATCCTGTTTTCTTACAGCGGTAGAAAAATGAAAAAGGCAAGTAAATAGTAATTTGTGTGTTGTGAGAAGGTGAATAAATGAAAGTATGATCAACTCAGTAGTAAAAGTTATAAATATGTTGAAGTAAAGAATTGTAGGTATTATAATTAAATAAGAGTAAACTGTGTGAGAAAAAATAAATACACAATATGTTTTATAGAATATTTAATGAGTTGTAAAACGAAGTGTGTGAGAAGAGACACATGTGTGATGCTTATTGTAAAATGATTGTTATGAATAAATAATATAGAAAGAAATAAGGGCTCACGACATGATTGTCGCGAAAATAAGCACGACAGTGGGGAGAGGGAATAGGAAGAAGAGTGAATGAATCGGTTGATAACCTATCTCACCAAAAAGTGATTACACAGAGAATGTTTAATAAGTTATAAAACGAAGTGTATGAGTAGAGATACATGTGTGATGCTTATTGTTATTCTTGTAAAATGATTGTTATGAATAAATAATATAGAGACTTATTTATAGGTTTGTCGCATAATAGAGCAGTTAGGAAGAAGACTAATATAATGTTATTAACTTAATCAAAAGTCACTAAGGAAATGTAAAGTCTCGTTTTAATAATAACTACAGAACATAGTTATTTTTGGTGGTTGGCTTCATGGCTGTATATAAAGTAAACACAGCGAAAACTTTTAACTTGAAAATAATTTCTCTGTGGCGCAATTGTAGAACTATTGAGTGACAAAAATATATTGCGATTCGTTCGTGAATCGCCCTTTAAACTCTCTTTTTATGGACATCTGACCAAGGATACTTAACTTCACTATTAGGATTGGCCAATCCCATCTAATGTACAATTCACTGTGTTACGTCATTGCCGGGCCAGATATTTATACATTCTTATATTGTTTTTAGAATTGATTGTTTTTGTAGCTTTTTAATTGACTGGACTTTTAAAAAGAGTATTTTGGTAAATCAACTTAGTTTTATTTGAGGTAATTTCTACAGTGGCAAAAATGATTTGTTTTTAACTTATAGTGTAATTTTTTTTTAGGGTTCGAATATGCCATAGTATAATTATTGTAACAACAGACGCAGTCGTGTGAAAATAAAATTGGATAAGCCAGATATAATTTATCATGATTTTCAGTTAGGAAAAAATTTTGTTAAACATAAAATAAAACAAGAGTGGATTCACAGATGATGTAGAGCTGATGAATGGAAACCCACAACAAACTAGATTTGGTCTGTCCATTTTATCGGCAATGATAATGAAAGATAACTTAATAATCAAATATTGGGTAATTGGGTTTGCCAGTGAGGAGGCGATTAAAGAAAACGACAGCCCCTACTTCTTGGGAATAATGAAAGTGAAGATAAATCTTTAAAAAAGAAACAGTGTCGTTGAAAGTGTTAACTGGGAACAAAAATATATATGAAAGATGAAAGCTTAAAGATGATTTTCAAAATATAAAAAAAAGAAAAGGCCAATATGTTTACACAAGTAAAACAATATTTTTATAAAAGCATCAGAGACTATTGAAGCAAAACAAGGAACTAAGAAAAATGTTTTTGCTAAAAACCAAATGGACTGGTTGATTGGACATTTGAAGAAGCTGCATCTGCTTATACCTTGCGATATTACAGCAAAACGGCATATCTAAATGTAAAACAGCAATTACATTTTCCACTTCTTGGTTTGTCTTCTCGAAGACGATGGGCTAATAAATTAAATTTCACAAATGGAATCTTAAAAACAGTATATTAAAATGTATGCAGTTGGACGGAGAATCAATAATGGGCGACTTTAACAAGCAATATTTATTATGTACTATTTTGTACTAATTTTAATTTATGTACTTTTTATGTACTACATGTACTATTTGGGGCACAATGAGTACTAGGACACATTTTCCCTGTGGTTTACCCCTACACTACACTAAAATAGTAATGTTTCAATGATTGGTGCAGTAAAAATGGAGTTATTATTACTTTGATGATATTATGAAGATAGCACATACAAATTATTTGGTATTTTTACAAAAAGAGGACCAATAAAAAATTATTGTTTTCAATTTGTGATACTTGTATTTTTCGTATATATGTATTTCATTGGGAATTTAATAAAGATATAACTGATAATTTTTAAATATGTGTGCTATTAGAAATGTTCTGAAAAATATTGTAGCATCACCGTCCACAATTGCTTGTAATGTAACGTGGTCGTTGAAAGCAAATATACCTAGTACTGTTGTTACGTGAATTTCCATAATAAAGATTTTTCTTATCGTGTCCATTTATTTCGGAATACCTTAAACGGTTTATATTTAAAAAAATAGCGTTTTTTACATGACATTCATTATTGTTATTCTTATTTTTCACGTCATTTAAAAAAGTGTTAAAATTAATATATACTGAGAAAATTGTTACATTCGAAGAGAAAATTTTACGTGGTTTTTGTACTTTTCTTAAAATAGAATACCTTTCAACAAATAAATCACCTTGTATATTTGGAAGCCTAGAAGTACACATATTTTAGTGGTATTACCTTTCCCAAAAATCAATTCATAGTTTACAGGGTTTTGAAATAATCCTTAAAAAAATTATATATTGTGGTTTCCGTTATAAACACTCTGTATAAGAAATGTGTACTGTGCAATATTTTGTCGCCAAAATACCATATTGAGCTGTGCTTTTTTTAAATGTGCTTCCCTGATGTCACAGTAGAGTTAGTGAGATTTTGCAAAAAAAATTACTGTCATACATTTGAGAATCACCCTGTGATTAAAAAGATTTTAATTGTACGTAAAAATAAATAAATATAGATAAACATAAATAAAAATATAAAAATTATTATAAAATTAAAAAACTATTAAAAATTAATAAAATTTATAAAAATTAATAAAAAAATCAATAAAAATTATTAAAAATTAATAAAAATTTATAAAAACTAATAAAAATGTTTAAAAATTAACAAAAATTAATAAAAATCAATAAAAATTAATAAAAACTAATAAAAAATTATTAAAAAATAATAAAAATCGATGAAAATTAATAAAAAATATTAAAAATTAGCAAACTTAATATAAATAAACAAAAATTAATAAAAATTAATAAAAATGAATTACCATAATATTAATCCAAGTAACTTTTTTAAAGAAATCTAACCTCTAAAAATTAATGACTGCAAACCTGAAATATACTACTGTATGTTCACTGCTTTGTTTGATCAATATAAAATTTTAAGTCGGTCCTGTTCAAGCAGGTTCCTGACCTCAGAGAAGGCCAATCAAAACGCTACTGTAGAGGGCGTAACTGACCAGCAAGTAAACATTACCCTACTATAGTTTTTCATACACACGACGTCGCTTAACTACTACCACACCAGTGCCTAGACGCTAATTTGAAGCATTTATTTGTAGAACATTTGCGATTTTTGAATAAATTAAAACGTTAGTTTATCAGATAATTTAGACTTACCTCTTCACATATAACTGATAATTTAGCATTTTCCTGTATTCTTGGCCTAACAAAATCAACTACTTCTTGACTAGACATGAAGTTCCAAATACCATCACAAGCCAACACCAAAAATTCGTCTTCCGCCGGATTTAAAGTCAGCGTCTTGACATCTGGCAAAGCCGTTATCATTTGCTCCCTAAAAACATTTGTTTTACAACATACTAATTTCAAGAGGCACAAATTTGATAAAAAAAAACAATCGAATAACAATTGATTGAAAACAAAAATGAACGAAAACAATAATAATCAAAAAGAAAATTAATCGTACATTATCATATCCTGTATGACCCAAAACTTAAAATACACTCATTAGATATCAAATTTTTCAAGTCGTATACGAGGTTTGTCAAAAAATATGAATTTTGCTCAAGAGTAAAGTACATTTTTTTGTAAACAAAATCGAAAATTTTCATTAAGAAAAGTTGATTAGAATTGAAAATTACATTCAAATATGCAATTACACCGATCTATCTGAAAAATCAATTTTTTTTTCTAGATTTTGCATTGATCCACCTAATTACGGTAATCCATATTTTTATCTCTTTCTTCTCTACTATAAACATGATACGCTTTCCTTTTCTTGATGTTTGTGAAGAATTTAGCAATTTTCTTATTGAACATTTTCGATTTTGTCAAAAATAAACGTCCTTTACTCTTGAGCAAAATTAATATTTTTTGACAAACCTCGTATACGGCTTGAACAATTTGATATCTGATGACTGTATTTTAAGTTTCGGGCCATGCAGGACTTTTTATCAAGAATAACTTTTTAAAAAATATTTTTTTTTCCATATGGTTCCAACTTAAGTAGACACACTAACTATACAGTGCTTCTCAAAAGTCCCCTCCCCCCTCTTTTCTTTTGAACAGTGATACTTAGACTGTTGAAATTTGGAGGGTGAAAATGAACTATTGTAAGCTTCTCTACCAGTGGTAACAGGTGACGTAATAGGCATCGGTGACGTCACCAGGCAACTGAAGTCAATAATATTAAATGGGACCTTATATCAATTTTATTTATTTAGGAATACCTAATCAATCGTACTATATTTTTTGGATTTACGATATTTTGGTATCACTTGCCTGGTGACGTCACCGATGCCTGTTACGTCACCTGTTACCACTTGTAGAGAAGCTTACGATAGTTCATTTTTACCCTCGAAATTTCATCAGTCTAAGTATTACCGCTCAAAAGAAAAAAAGGAGGGAGGGGACTTTTGAGAAGCGCTGTAAATAAAATTATTAGTTAAATTAAATATTAAGAAAAAACGTTTTAAAATCATGGTGTGGGTAAATACAAGGGCAGAGTCGAGTTGCCTCCTAAGATTCAAAATATTACCTGGTACCAAACAGGTCATGTTCAAATTTTCTCTTTTGTTGCTTCTTGCTTCGCATAAAATATACATAAAATGACAAAAATAAAAAAACTTAACTGAAACACCTAACCTGTGCGGCCTAGAGCCAACGAGAGTTGCTTAAAAAAAAATTATACATAAGAGAAAATCAAAAAAAGAATAACTAATCCACCTAACTGGTCCGTGAGCGATTGGATAAATTTAAATGGCTGCATGCAGCACAATTTAGGTTTAGTTATTTATTTCATTCATTATATGTTTCTTTTATCATGGGAAATGAGTTTTTCTCGTAAACGGCTACAGCAAATTGAGTTCTATAAAAAGTATTTTATTTAAACTGATTGATGCTTGAAACTGGGATAGATATGGAAGTTATAATTAAGCGAAGCTTCACATTTTTTTTTTTTAGAAGCATACCATTTTTATTTCAGAAATTGAAAGACCTCTTCAATACAAACACTTTTTTCAAATACCACTTTTTTTATCTAAAAACCATTCAAAAATTACAGACTAGTTTTTATGTTTTAAATTTGTCAATTGCCATACAAAGAATGCATGGTTTTTTAAATTTCACTAAATCAGGTAGGCTTTGATATTTACTAATTTAATAGAAGTAATTAAAATTACTCTGACAGTTTCAGACATCAAAGCCTACCTGATTTAGTGAATTTTAAAAACACATGCATTCTTTGTATGGCAATCGATAAATCTAAAACATAAAAACTGGTCTGTAACTTTTGAATGGTTTTAGATAAAAAAAAAATTTGAAGCGTCGCGACGTCTAGCGTCGTTTAATTATAACTTCCATATCCATCCCAATTCCAAGCATCAATCGGCCTAAATAAAATACTTTTTACAGAACTTAATTTGCTAACGCCGTTTATGAGAAAAAATCATTTCCCATTATAAAAGAATCGCCCTGTACATATTTGTTGCGAACAGGTTAGTTAAATTAGTTTTTTTTATATAATTTTCCATTGATTTTTGATCTATTGCATTTTAGATCTATTGTAATTAAATCAAATGTATTAATGTATTTGGATAAAATATACCACTGAATATATTTTCGATCAAATGTCATTCAATGAAATGTATTTTCGATCAATTTTGTGCCACCCTATAATTGTCTGTTGTTTTGAAATCTACAACAATCTTAATAATTCAATGCAAATCTATGTATTTATATAATTTTTAAAATATTTAACCATAATTTAATTAATGAAATACACTAAACATACAGTGTGCAACAATAGTTTTACTTCAAAAACTCGTTTACAGCTAAAAAAAAAAAAAAAAAATGCTTGGAAACGTTTTTTTTATTTTGGACATTTGAATATACGTAAATTTTAAGTAGTAAGGGTGGCTGAATGATAGATCATGTGCACCCTACAGTGTGCCGCATTTAAGATGAAGACACCCCTATATTTTGTCTATCTAAATAAATACAGATTTGAAGTTTTGCACAGTCATACAGGGTGATGCCATTGATTTTAAACGAAAAAAAAACGAAATAATCGAATGGTTTGCTCGTAGTAGCAGAGAAATTGCTGCAGAGTTTAACAGGAGACATCCGCAACGTGCTTCCATTACACATGGAAAAGCAGCCGCTATAAATGCTTTTTTCAATGAAACTGGCAGTGTTATTAAAATCCATCAGAATGGCAAACCTCAGCGAATACACCCGCATACTGAGGATAACGATATACTGGCGGCAAATCGAGCAAATCTACGTATGAGCCTTCGAGATTTATCATCTCAGCTGAATATTAAAGGATAAAATCAGAAGATGTTTCATCCGTCACAAAATTAAGCCCCATAAACCAAAGTTCTTACATACATTAAAAGAGGGCGATGAGAATAAAAGATTAGATTGTTTTTGGGCCCAAGGTTATTTTTTAAATGACAGGCATTTTCTGGAGAAGATTATGTTTACAGATGAGGCTTGTAACGGTTGGAACCGTTATTTCGACACAACTACCTTTTACCTCTTAAATGTCATTTGTCGTTTTCTTCTTCCTTCATTCGCCTTGTGTGAATCATTTTTGACTTGAATGTCAACGAATCAACTAGATTTCATTTTAATATATCTTGGTCATCCGCGGTACTAAATAATTTTTATCTATCGTATAATCCGTCTGATTTTATAAGGTAATATATAATACTGATATATTGTTGAAAATATATATTTTGTACAAGAATTTCTTAAATAAAATGTCAAATTTTGAACATAAACCTCAACAATGGGTAACACATATTGGTTTTATATAAAATTATATATTATTTTGTTTGGAATAAGATATTATGTTTAAATATGTTAAATAAGATTTTTCCTTTTCATATTAATTTTAGTATCTGTGAAATTATTCATTTAATAGCAATGCTTATCGACTATTTAACATTTTATTCAAGTGTGGCCTTTTTTGTAACTTTTACTGAATAAATGTTATTATTATTAAATTGTTCATTTAATAGTTAAAAGCATTTTATCTAAATCCTGTTCAATTAATTCCCTATTTCCTGTCTTAACATTTTAACCTTTCTTTTTAGCATGTCTATATCTAGACGGTTTATTTGGATTTATATCTAGACGCTTTGAATTCCTATCAAGAAGTTTTATGGTTTTTATACCTAGAAGTTTGTTTTGGTTTTGGTACAATCTGAAGATCGTGGTTTGATTCATCTCTAGAAGATCTAGACAGGTTCGAGTTAAGTTAGAATACCAAATATCACGAGATCATTCAAGTTGCAGAATTACGAATAAGGATACCGAATCCCTTTGAAGAAGTTGCCTGAAGATATACCTTGCAATAAACTTCCTTATATTACCTTCTTGTAACTAAAGATAAGTGCTTTTAAATAAATCATCTTAAATTTGAATTTAGTAAAACTATGTGAATTGCAATTTGCTACTACCTTATCTAAAACATGGTTTAAATATAATTTGTTAGTGGTTAGTGATTTTCTATATTTTTATCACTAATCTAAAGTCAAGTATAGTAAGTTTTAAATTAGTGGTGCCCAACTTCTTTTTCAAAGTTATTCGAGTTATTTAATAACCTAACCCACGCCCAATCAATTGAGCTTAAACACATTATAACAAGTAGATAAAATATCAAGTATCACGTTACAGGCTACATTCACCATCAATGGCGTTGTATCATCTCAAAATTGTAGATACTGGGCCAGAAATAATCCCCACTGGGTTATAAATTGGAAAGATCAATATTCCCAGAAAGTCAATGTCTGGTGTGGAATTTTGGGAGACCAAATAAAAGGTACTTTTTTCTTTAATGAATCATTAAATTCTGGTCGTCTAGTTAACTTTTTTGATGGGGAATTATGGGATGCTATAGAAAATCTTCCTCTCAATGTGGGACAGGTTATGTATTTCCAGCTAGATGGTGCATCCATTCACAATTCAAGGAATGTTCGTCAATTGTTAAATCAAAAATTTCCTATGCGCTGGATAGGAAGAAACAGTCCTCTTGAACCCTGGCCTCCGAGGTCCCCTGATATTACACCACTCGATTTTTATTTTTTTTTTGACTGATAAAAAATAAGGTTTATAAAACAGAGCCCAGAAATCGAGATGAACTTTGTGCCAGAATAAGACAAGCCTGTCAAGAAATCAGCACCCTAGAACTGGAGGACTAGTCGAGCGAGATAACATTTGATAAATTGTCATTTGAACTATGAAAATTGTTTTAATTATTTTCTTAATAGCCAGTGGACGGCTACCTGTATGTATTTGACCACACCTGAGTTTTTGTACACTGAGACC